CCCACCATGCGACCCCACCATGGTCATGGATCGGGGACCCATAGTGTGAGGACACCGCCTGGGTGTCATCGAAGCCAGCCTTGTCGATGATGACCGGCCTCTGGTAATGGCCGGGGTTGCGCGTCGAAAGCGTCACCACATCGCCCTTTCAGCAACACGTCTCGTCAATACTTCTGTTGACGAAAGCTGTCAGACCCAGCCGTCATAGATTCGGCGAGCCATCCCTTCTGAAATGCAATCATCAAACAAATCACCGCGACAATCTTTGCCTTCGGGGCAGGGGCAACAATCTTCCGAGCGACAACACTGTGTGGCGCCGGCAAGCAGCGCGGCAAACGAGCAGGGCAATCCAACCAATGCCCAGACATTCAAGGGAGGCAACGGAAAGTTTGCGAGGGCAGGGAAAGTGTTGTTGTTATCTTGCTTGAAAAGAATTTGGCTTGTGACCGTGCATCCGACATCCCACCAACCATGACTGCCTCTGGCGGCAAGGCCCCGGGCCCAAAAACAACCCGAGAGAACATTCTGTGACGGCCCTGAGAAAAGGCCCCCAAGAAGGCCCCCCGTAAGACGGCCCAAGATGGCCCCAAGAGCCCCAGGAAAGAGGCGGAGGGGGGCGAGGAAGAAAACGAACGAACGAACACCGCTGCGGACAAGCGCCCCGGTCTAGCTCAGAACAAGTGGGTGAGGCCGTGGCCCCTGGATTCTGGCGCGTCTGGCCACATGTAATGCGAGACTTACGAAAAGTGAGGAGAGGGGAAGGAGGATGAAGACCAATGTAAGCCCAAGTCATCAACGACATTGCAACGAACGGCCCCTACAATATTCATTTTCACAAGAGGGAAATGCCCCGTTGGAAAACAAACGCTTGAAAATCCGGAACGGTGCCAAAACACCGTTCCTGGGTCTTCAACGCCGCGAATCGCCCCTCCTTTCGCGTCTTGACGATCCAGAATCGTGCTCAAATACCATTCCTGGGACTTCCAACACCACGAATCAACGTAACTGCCATCTGTGGGACGTTAGCACGGAGAAACCTTGAAACGGCTGCGAACTCTTGAAAAGAATGTGCGGAGCGCTAATGCGAGAGCCACATGTTTACAAGAAGTCGCCCTCCTTCTGGAAGCTCTTGAAAATGTTTCAACGAATCTGCGCGGCGCTGGAGCGAGAACCACGTTTTAAAAATGAGCCGCCCTCCAGCGTGAAGATCCTGCAAACTGTTACGACGAAAGAGCGCTGCGTGAAAACGAGAACCACATGTTGAAACCACATGTTGGAACCACATGTTGAAAACGTGTCTCCATCCGTGCAATTATTGCACTATGTCATGACGAATGTGCGCAACGCTGAAGCGAGAACCACACTTTGAAAACGGCCCTCCGTCCATCCGTAAAACGCTTTCAAATTATCAGCTTGAGGATCAAACATTGGGACGCCGTCTCAAGCGAAACGCCCGGCCCTCCCTACCGACGCGCATCGGGGTGCAAAAGGGAGGAGTTATTTATGAGGAAAAGGAATGGGCGAAGAAGAGAGAAGTCCTTCGTACTTGGTGTCGGTCGGCGATTCCCCTTCCGAGCGAGCTCGCTTGCGGGAAAGGGGCTCGGGGGGTCTGTCAGGGGGTTCCAAGTGCTCTGGGGCGCAAGCGCTGGGCGTCCTTCCCAGTCGTGGCGTTTGCCGTCCCCGCGCTGCCGCTGGCTTGACTTGGTGGGGAAAGGCCTTGGTTCTGACTCTCGCAAGCGCCCCCCCCCACAGACAATTGTATTTCTTGGCGCGTCACCCACACTCGCCCAACCTTTCTTACGCCAGCCGCAATCCAACGCTCTTCGGGGAGGTCTGATTGCTTGTCCAAGACAACCAGACAACCGGTCAGCTGGACTGCGGCTTTCTTGGCGCACCCACCGCGGCAGGTGTGCCGACCTCCATGGAAAAAGAACCCACAACTGCATACACATAATCTGTCGGCGCTCCGCGCGGATTTCGTGGATCTGCGCTGGACCCCCCTCCCTGGCGCGCGGAGCACGACAGCGGCGGCGCTGGAGGCTCCGCCGGTGGTGCCCAACGCGGATCCAAGAAACCCGCGCGGAACGTCAACACTTTGTTTATGTAATTTTTGGACGCCCGAAGTGCGTACGAAAAAATGGGTACAATGCCCAACAAGAACTGTTGTCCCAAACCAACAGCGGCCGCTGTTGGGCAGGCGGCCTTCTGTCTCAAATGGGCACAGTCCGCGGCGGCGCGGACAGCGAGTCCTGTTCAAAATGAGCAGGAGCTGCTGTCGGGCATTGTACCCAGTCTCTCCGTACCCATATCGTTTGTGCCGACAGTCTTTTCTTTCTCGACTCCTGGGAAAGAAAGGTGGAGGCTCCTACCGGTCTTCTTCCGCCGGTCCCCCTCGTCCTCTCCTCCTTCTCCAGGGATCTGCCGGGGGATCCAGGGGAATGCTTCCGTCCACAGGCACGCCCTCCGAAGCGCTTGCCGTCTGGACACTTCTCAATCTTTATGACTGAGTGCTTGCTCGCGTGGGGTCGGTGTACAGGCGGAGGGGGGAGAGGACGAGGGCAAGGGAAGACGGAGGACAGGAGGAGAGAGGAGCGCTGAGGCATCAGAGGTACCAGAACCATGCAGCGGGCTCCCTCTCATCATTGTTCTGTGTGAGCCCAGCGCGTCACCCCGCCCTGGCAGCCCTAGGTGTCCTCTCCCTTTTCGTCTCGTCGTTCGTTCTTCCCTCCGTGCTTGTGTCTTCGTCGCCGTTGTTATCCTCCAAAGATTGCAAGCCAAGGCGGGGCTATCCTTTGCCCACTACACGTGTATGCACACACCTTTTCTCCGAGGCGACCCGATGCATGCATGGCATCACCTCAGCGGCCTGGCGGCAGGAGCGAGCAAGGATGCCAGATTCAGAGCGAGGGCACCCAACCCATCAGACCAAATCAAGCACAAACGCGGGACAAGGCATTGAAAAAGGCAGCACTCAGCAGGATTATCTCACCGCTCGAGGCCTGTTCATAAACCTAACCTCCCTTAGCAACGCTGATATCTGTTCATAGCCTGGAGGTATGGGGGCAGCAGCGTTCTCCCTCTTTATGATACGTCCAAAACAAAGATCCGGCCTTACAGTTTGGAGGCGGCTGCGGGGTCTGCTCTGGATGGGCTCCAGCCATACCAGTCAAGAAGGGAGAGGGCGCAAATTCGGCATCCTGTGCTCACGGGGCAGGCGGCCAAGAGGGGACACAGGAACGAAACCCGCACACAATGATATTTCTCTCTTTCCCTTCCTAACGGCTGGAACAATGATGCCCAACTCAGCTCCCTAGCCGGCTCCAACTTAACAGCAGCCGGCTCCAGCTTCGGCGTCGCCCACTTCTCGGCGGCGACAGCTAGTCAAAGGGGTGGGCTTCTGGGAAGGCGAGGTGCCTTCTCGGAAGGCCTCGTACCTTCTGCGGCCTTCCCTCCTCCTCCTCCTCCTCCTCCTCCTCCTCCTCCTCCTCCTCCTCCTCCTCCTCCTCCTCCTACTCTCTTCACAGAGCCCCGACGCCACGATTTCTTCACATCGTCGACACCCGGCGGTCTCGGCCCATTCCTGAAGGGGCCCTGGGACACGCAAACAAATACACACAAATAACAAGATTCCCTCCATTTTCCAATGTTTTCTGGGTTTTCGTCTTCCCCCCCACTTCCCACATTCTCCCATGTTTTTTTTTCGGGGGGGAATCGACGATCGATTGTGTCTGTGTGTTTTTGCCCCCTCCTGATTTTTCGGGAGCGGCCAAAAAGGGGGGTGTCCAAGAGGAGGGGTGCAAATCATGACCGGCGGCATGTGCGCGGCCCAGCGGGGAGGCCAGGGACGTAATGAAATAAGAAGAGGCGGCATGAAATCTGGGGAAATCTCATGGCCCCCGCCATGATATCCACCCCCCCTAATCATCACCCCCCCTCTTTGCCGCCCCCGAATCTTCACATCGTCGACACCCGGCGGTCTCGACCCGTTCCCTGGGGCCGGCGCCTCCTCCCGAGCAGACCTCGGACGGCCCCTCTCTGGGGCCCGCCGGCGAGGACCCCTCGAGGCCGCAGAGCGGCCCAGGCACCCGCCGCCGTGCTCTTCGCCACCACGCGGGGGGGCGCTGGGCCGACCAGCCACGACTTCGGACGCCCGAAATGCGTACTGCAAAAAATGGGTACAATGCCCAACAAGAACTGGTGTCCCAAACTAACCGCGGCCGCTGTTGGGCAGGCGGTCTTCTGTCGCAAATGGACACAGGCCGCGGCGGCGCGGACAGCGAGTCCTGTGCAAAATGAACAGGAACTGCTGTTGGGCAGTGTACCCATTCTCTCCGTACCCATTTTGTTTGTGCAGATGGTCCTTACCTAGAAGTCAAAAGATCCACCCCCACGAAGCCGTTTAGTTTAGTAAACGCGCCTAAAGTCGGCGGTGGACAAACCTCCCTTTAGTAGACCTCCCCTTAGTGAAAACGGCCGGGGACCGAAACCGACGGACCTGGACCCGCAAAAATGACGGCCGCGACGCCCCCTCGCGCACCGAAAACGGCCAATTCCTTACTCGACGTGTCTCAGGGTAGGAGGTCTGTCCACCCCCGATAAAGAAGGAACCAACCAGGGCAGGGCTTAAAAGCCCAAGGCCGTTCCGTCAACGCCACATGTTCGGTCCGGGTGGTTCCTCCTCCCTTGATTACCCCCCCTGGGGGAAAACCCATCGCATCGACGATCTCTCGAGCAGGGGTGTCGACATCGATGGGCCCCCCCAGGGGGGCCAGGACCACAGCACCCCCCCTCCTCCTCCTCCTCCTCCTCCTCCTCCTCCTCCTCCTCCTCCTCCTCCTCCTCCTCCTCGGCCTGCCTGGGCCCCGGGGCGCCGCTGGCGCGCCGCGGCGCCGCGGCCCGTCAGTCCCACGTGGCCTCGGCGAGCCTGCCGGTCTGGTGCTCGACGACGACGCCCGGGGCGCGCCGGCCGCCGAGGAGGCCCTGCGCGTCGTCGCCCGGGGTCACGAAGCGGCCGAGGAGGCGCTGCACGTGGCCCCCCTCGCCGGGCCGCGAGGGATCGACCCCTGGACGGTGCGTTTCGCTCTCGCTCTGTTTTTCCTTCCTCCTCCCTCCTTCCTCCTTTCTCGTTTTTCCTTCCTCCTCCCTCCTCCCTCCTCCCTCCTCCCTCCTCCCTCCTTCCCTCCTCCCTCCTCCCTCCTCCCTCTGTGGTCCACGAAGCGGCCGAGGACTTTGAGGCCCGCCTCAAACTATCTGAACTAGCCACCAACTATTTTTCAGAGTTATGTTAAGAAGCTATAAGAAAAATAGAAGGAAACTATAATGCAAAACGGCCGAGGAGGTTCTGCACGTGGCCCCCCTCGCAGGGCCGCCAGGGATCGACCCCTGGACGGTGCGTTTCGCTCTCGCTCTGTGCTGGTGGTCCTAGGAAGGCACCAACTATACACCAACACCGATCCTGGCCAGGATCACCCTGGGCCCAGGATCGGTGTATACGCCATCCTGTCTTGCGCAAGAAGGCATATACACCGATCCTGGGCCCACGCTGATCCTGGGCCAGGATCGGTGTTGGTGTATAGTTGGTGCCCTCCGAGGTCCCTCGTGGCGCCTCTCCCGTCCGCCGCTGCTGCAAACCGGGGTCAGACGCATGCGGCTCGCGAAACCGCAAGCAAAAACCGTGCAGGTCGACCCCTCTGCCAATCGCCGGAGCAGCATGGGCTCGGCCCTGAAGGGGTCCGCGCGGGCTCCTCGGAGTGAGATCCAGCGGTTCTGGAGGCCGCATCTTGGCAATGAGTCCCCAAACGTGGTGGTGACAACACCCGGCGGTGAATCTCGGGCGACTTGGTGTCACCGCCCGGTCTGGGGACTCGTGCGGTTCTTCGAGGATGTCCTGGACGCCAGTGGGTCCAGGAATGCCAAATCCCGGCGGTGACCCCGTGTCCACAGACCGGCAGTGACTTCTTGGGGGATTCCAGGTCGCCACCTGATATCTCGCCACCTGGCTCGGGGGCTCCCAAGCTTAATGGGCCCTGGAAACGACAAGGCCGTTTTTTTACCGGTTCCGTTTTGCCGTTTTTTTGCGGGTACCGACGCCGTTTTTTTACCGGTTCCATCGCCGTTGTTTGACCAGTTCCGGCTCCGATTCCAATCCTGGAGCCGTTGTTTTGCCGTTTCCGGTCGCTTTTTTTTTGCCGTTTCCATTTTCACGGGGCATTTTTCTGGAAACGGTAAAAAACGGCCCTGCTGTTTCCGGGGCCCACAAAGCTCCCAAGGTCCTGGAGGACGCATCGGGCGCCGCGGCCGTTCCAGGGTCCAGGGCGCTCCGGGGCGCTCCGAGAGCGTTCCAGATTGCCCGTAAGCGCAGTGCGCTGGTCCTGAGCCCGCCGGACTCCCCCCACCACACACTCCTCCCCCGGGCGCGCGGCGCGGGAATGCCGTTGCACAAGAGAGATACAGTGAGCGATCCCGATGAACCATGCAACACGTTTCCCGAGAAACGTCCTTCGAAATGTCCACTGCACTGCAAAATCAGATGTGACGATGGAAGACATGCTGTTTTCAAAGCCGCTGTTGAATAGTTTTTGGGCAGGGGGCCGCGGGCACGAGGGGCCACGCTGGCGGGTGGGCACTGACGGTGGTGATCATCGACCTGGGATCGACGACCCGTCGCCTCGCCATCGCTCGGACGTCCATTCCCTGTTTTTGTTTCGGTCTCGTGCGTGGTTTTTTCCGCCCAGTGATCAAGGATGCTCCTCGATGGTCCTCGCCGAAGGAAAAATGCACACGTCCGAGCGATGCCAAGTCGCCGATAGCGATCGACGGTGGGCTCCTCCTCCTCCTCCGCCTCCTCCTCCTCCTCCTCCCTCCTCCTCCTCCTCCTCCGCCTCCTCCTCCTCCTCCTGATCGACGGTGGGCTCCCGATGCGAAGAAGCGCATGCTCCTGGGCGGGGGCGGCGATAAGGCCCCCACAAGGCGCCCAGTAGGCGACCTGGAGGTCGACGCGTCGCCCCGTGGGCTGACGCCGGGCTGGTGCCCCGTACAGTTCTGTTGTTGCCATTCCCCTCGAGGACCACATCCCAGAAGTGAGTTCGAGCACCCGGGAAGGTGCCAGAAGAGTGCCAGAAGAGTGTCGAAACGGTGTCGGGCGAGTGTCTCCCAGGGCCCGCCGCGTGACAACCCTGGAGTTTCGGTACTTTTTTGGGCGCTCGAAATTCTTCCTGGTGATCAAGGCTAAAAGTAGGCTGGAGCATCATAACCCTACAGGCCGATTGTGGACGACAAAATAAAAAACAGTCAAACAATGCCTAAACCATATCCCAAAAATGCCCCAAAATACTGGTCCCCCGACTATCTTTCGACTATTCTTGAATCTTCTCCCTGTAGAGGCACAGGCCCGACATAACCCTGGGTCATCCCACCCCCCCAGCGTTGCCAGAGAGGAGGCCAAGGGCCGACGTACATGCACGTATGCATGAGCGCATGGGCCCAATTCGGCGGTGGACAAATCTCCCTTTAATAGACCTCCCCTTAATGAAAACGGCCTGGGACCGAAACCGACGGAACTGGACCCGCAAAAATGACGGCCGCGACGCCCTCTCGCGAAGCGAAAACGGCCAATTCCTTAATCGACGTGTCAGGGTAGGAGGTCTGTCCACCCCCGACCAGTACACGCTTGCTGCGCTTGCCACATGCGGACGAACGCGTGGCCGCCTGCACACATGCGCAGATCTCTGCACAACCTAGTCGTGTATGAAGCCGAGCGTTCTGCCCCCCAGGTCGTCGCGTCCTCCTCCTCCTCCTCCTCCTCCTCCTCCTCCTCCTCCTCCTCCTCCTCCTCCATGAACGCATGGCCGCTTGCATACATGCGCAGATCTCTGCCTGGAGATCGGGGCTCCCCAGCGCCGACCCAGGGAGCCCGCGCGGGCTCCCAGAGCCAGACGCCCGACGATCTGTTGCTGTGTCGAGGCGCGGCCTCGGGGGTCCCAACGCCTGCCCCGGGGCAGATTCCTCGCCCTGGATCCACGCGTGGATGGTCCTGGGGCCTCGTGAGCGGGCCCTGGAGGCCCAGAGCGAAGAAGAGACGCCAATTGAACAAAACTCCTGGAATATCCGATGGGCCAGGCGCCCGACGACCTGCTGCCTTGTCGAGGGCGCGGCCCCAGGGGCCTCAAAACGCCTGCATACGTGCGCAGATTTCTCGCCCTGGGATCCACGTGTGGATCCTGGGGCCCGCGAGCAGGCCCTGGAGGTCCAGAGCGAAGAAGAGACGCCCTCCTCCTCCTCCTCCTCCTCCTCCTCTTCCACCTCCTCCTCCTCCTCCTCCTCCTCCTCCCTCCTTTCCTCCTCCTCCTCGTTCTCCTCCTCCTCGTTCTCCTCCTCCTCGTTCTCCTCCTCCTCTCCTCCTCCTCCTCCTCCTCCTCCTCCTCCTCCTCCTCCTCCTCCTCCTCCTCCTCCTCCTGGGAACTGCCGGTGCGAATCCATGTGTGATGGTCCTGGGGCCCGTGAACGGGCCCTGGCTGGGCATCGCTCGGACGTCCATTCCCTGTGTTTTTGTTCGGTTTCGTGCGTGGTTTTTTCGCCAAATGATCAAGGATGCTCCTCGATGGTCCTCGCCGAAGGACAAATGCACACGTCTGAGCGATGCCATGCTGGAGGCCCAGAGCGAAGAAGAGACGCCAATTGAACAAAAATCATGGAATATCTGAGGGAACCAGAAGGTAGTGATACCGCTGCTCCCTGGACCTCTCCTGGGGTGCCCCTTGGCCAGAATCTCAAGCAGAATCCAGTCGTGACGGCGAGGGTCCTCCAGGACGAGCAGGGGTATCTAGAGGCCCCCCAGATGGGGTCAGAGTCAATGGGGTTGGAGGATCATGCCGCATCGCCGATGCATCGACGATGCATCGGCGATGCGTCGGCGATGCATCGTCTAAGTCGGCCATGCATGCATCGGCGCCATGACCGTGAAAAGTCGAGCTCCACATCGACCCGCATCGCCCATGCATAGGCGATGCGGCGCGATCTTCCGACCCCATCTGCTCGGACCCCATCCAGGAGGCCCAGGATCGGGGAAACGTGAGACTCGATTGTCCGCCAGAACTCGGGTCTGCCGACGCATTTTTTGTGACGAGCCCGTCCAGGATCTTGCCAGTCCAGCTTTAGGTCGGGCATGTCCCCCTACGGGCGGATTTTGGGGCGAGAAATCTACAACGCTCCAAAGGTACCCCAATAGATGTTTGAATATTCCTCCTGTAGAGGGACAGGCCCGACTTAAGTCCGGCTTTCGCTCGCCCTCCCTCGGGAGCGGCAAAGAGGGGGGTGTCGAAGAGGGGGGGGTGCAAATCATGACCGGCGGCATGTGCGCGGCCCAGCGGGCGGGCCAGGGACGTAATGAAATAAGAAGGGGCGCCACGAAATCTGGGGAAATATCATGGCCCCCGCCATGATATCCACCCCCCCCTAGTCATCACCCCCCTCTTTTCCGCCCCCGACTTTCGCTCGCCCCCCCCGCGGCCTCCTCGGGGCGCTCCCCGGGCGGCTCCTCGCCGGGGCACACGCACATGACCTCGCGAGGCGAGGCGAGGCGCCGGGCGTGCGCCCCGACGGGGGGGACGGCCCTGCAGGGGCGCGGCGTGCGGGCCAAGGCCCGGTCAGAGCTGGAGGTCGGTGTCGTGGTACGTACGGCAGGTTCGCGTCGTGTCGACCCCGGCGTTGGTTTCTGACACCGCGGGGATCGTTCAACCTTGAACGATCGGCCGTTTCCGAAACGTCCAAATCGTTCCACATCGAACGATTCTGGGTCGCCGGCGGCGTTCAACCTTGAACGCCCGCGCTGGGGTCGCCGCTGGTCGACACGACGCAAACCTACCGTACGTAACAAGTTTCCCTTCCAGTGCAGCCCAGTGCTGCTGGTCTGCAGCAGAGCGTGACCATCGTTTACAATCGTTGCCGTCGTCGTCGCTGCTGTGCATAATGTGCTCCGCGCACAGAACTATTGGCCGCGCGCCCTCTCCGGGCGCCTGTACGGAGGAGGGGGAGGAGGGGGAGGGGGAGGGGGAGGGGGGGGAGGGGAGGGGGAGGGGGAGGGGGAGGGGGAGGGGGAGGAGGAGGAGGAGGAGGAGGAGGAGGAGGAGGAGGAGGAGGAGGAGGAGGAGGAGGAGGAGGAGGAGGAGGAGGAGGAGGAGGAGGCGGAGGCGTCGTCGTCGCTGCTGTGCACAGCACATGACCTCGCGGCCGGCGGTGAAGAGGGCGGCGGCCGCCTCGTTGTCGTCGCCCGCGCCGTCGCCGGGGACGGGCGCAGGACCGCGCCGCGCCTCTCGAGGGAAGGAGAGACTCCAGACTACCCTTTAGGTCGGGCGTGCCCCCCAAACAGGGGGATTTCGGGCGAAAAATAAAACCGTCCCCAAAAGATACTCCCCAAACGCTCGAAAATAGTGAAAACAACAGTCCCCAGACTATTTTTGGACTAGTTTTGAGCATTCCTGCTGTAGAGGGACAGGCCCGACTTAAGATCACCCGTCGGTCGGAAAAAGTGGGTCGAAGCATGAAGTGGGAAGGCGGTGAAAGCAGATTGGGCTTCCGCCCGCTCCCTGAAGAGGAAGGAAGAGGGAAAACCACTCGATCATTGAAGTAGAAAGGCGCCCAAAGTAGACTGGGATCTGGGAATCCAGAAACCCCTACTTTCAACGATCGACGCGTACAGAGGCCTCTCAAAGCGGGTGCAATGGGGTCCGAGCAGGTGGGGCCGAAGGATCGCGCCACATCGCCGTGCATCGGCGATGCGTCTGCGATGCACGGAGGATGTATCGACGTGGAGAAAGCCAGGCTCCATCCACATCCAGCCGCATCGCCGATGCATCGGCGATGCGCCGCGATCCTCCGACCCCATCTGCTCGGGCCTCATCTGGGAGGCCTTGACTGTCCAAGGCGAGTCGAGTCGAGTCGCGCCCTGCACAGGAGAAACTTGCCCCAACGAAAGGGAGGGCGGCGTGCTGCTACCAGGCAGGCGGGCCCGCCCGGAGCAGCGAGGTTTGAAAGTACAAGTAGTGAAACAAGCAGAAGAGGAGGAGGAGGAGGAGGAGGAGGAGGAGGAGGAGGAGGTGGAGCAGAAGCAGGAGAGGAGAAGCAGGAGAGGAGCAGAAGCAGGAGAGCAGGAGAACCAAGGTGGAGAGATGGAAGCAGGAGAACGAGGCACACACACACACACACATCAGCCCTGGTCAGGCCCAGGTTGAGCCCAGGATCGGTTCGCACGCCGCCCTGGCTTGGCGAGCAAAGCGTGCGCAACCGATCCTGCTCCCAAGGTGGGCCTGGACAAGATCGAAAGAACGAATCAACGTCAGCCTTGCGCCAGACGGCGCGCGAGCAGGGTGAGATAGGAGATAAGTAGTGTCGAAATGCAGCACTATTTACAACTGGTGCCATTTCTTTACCGCCGACTCCCATGAGGCCGCTGCTCTGCCGTCGCGGCGGAAGAATGCAGACACGGCCTCCCGGGAGCCAGCCACGGACAGACGCCTTGCCAGGATCGGTGCGTGAATAACTCCCTCCGCCCAAGGCAGAGCTCTCGAGGGTGGGCAGAAGAGGGTGTCAAGAGGCAACTTCTGGAGGGTCTGCGCAAGACAACTTGAGGGCCATTCAGCCCCGAGTAAGGGCAAGTCCAAGACTCAGCCCGAGTAAGCTAGATCAAGCGGGCTTACGCCGGATTAGATGGGATTGTGCCAGAGTGGGCTGTTCGGCCACGGATATGCTGTTGGCCTCTGGTAGGTGGCTACATCCGCCGACCCTACCCGCACCAACCATCGATTCTCCTTGATGGATGGGAGGCGGGGACAGGGTTCGGAGATCGCCACGTGTTCGACGAATTCCGAACTCTACCCCCGCCGCCCATCGTGCTGTCTGGTATCGTTGATCGGCGAGGGTGCTCCAGGTCTCTCAATAAGCGTGGGGGAGTGGATCGCGTGGGGGGGTGGGAAACCGCTGTCCTTCGGGGGGCGTGGGGAGGTTGGGGAGCGAGAGGGGGTGGGATTGGGGCGCGTGGGGGGACGGGCAAGGGGCGTCGGACAGGTTGGCACGGGGGGGTGCTTATTGAAGGATGTGGAGTAGGCTTAGGATTTGGCCGCCGAGCTGTAGCAGCGTGGATCGCGCAGGCCTTGAATGGTCGCGGCTTCGGCGCAGGACGCCTGGAGCTTCGGCCGATGATGGGCCACTGGCGGCGTTCGGCGGTGCGCGCCCGCGCTGGCGTCGCCACTGCGCCGAGTCGATGCAGTCAAAACCTATGACAAGGACGGGCAAGAAGGACGCGAGGATCTTGGCCGCAGAAGTTGGCATGTTTTAGGCGGCGGGATGCACACCCCAGGGACGCAAGAGTACCCTGCCCCACCCCCGTCCTTGCCGAGTGGGCGCTCCGCCGCGCAGCCGCCAAGCCTGAGGGCTTGGCCAGCGAGAACGGCCAAGGACGGCCCCCGAGGCAAGGACGCAAGGGTGCCCTAAGGGAAGTCGTGTCCTTACCGTGGATGTTGACTGCACGACACGGAGGCGAGGCAAAGACAACTTCGGAGCGAGGCAGTTCGAGAAACTCTGTGAGCAGGTCCATAAGCTGCGACCGTTCCAGAGCGCTCCAACACAGCGCTCCGAGAACGTCCTGGAATGCTCTGGAGCCACCCGTCCTCATCCTAAACCTGCCCCCCGGGGTCAGCGAACCAGCCGCACGCAGCAGGTTTCCCAGCGCCTCCTGGCGACGGGAGCGGCCACGTGTCAAGGAACGTGCACGACGACCCTCTGCGGCGGGGTCGAGTTCCAGCAAGCAGGCTGCGCCACCCATCCCTTGGGGGGCAACGACAAGGGGGAACAGCGCTCAGGTGGGGGAACCAACGACCTGGCATCGGCGACACCTCGCCGATATATATATATATATATATATATATATATATATAATATATATATTCCTCTTCCTATATTCTTATAAGCCCGGGCGGGGGGAAAATCCATCCCCCCCCCAAAACCGGACTCCCGGGACCTGGGGCTTTGGGGCCCTCCGGACGGGCCTCGAAGCGGCCACCGGGCCTCGCAAGGCGTTTTGCCAAGCCTTCCCAGCACACTTAGGGCGATCAGGGGGGTCATCGGAGACGTCCCAGAGACCCCCAAGACAGCACAAGAGCGCTCCAAGAGTGACCGACGTGACCTCAAGATGGCCCAAGAGGCCTCCAGGACGGCCCCAAAGAGGCCTCCAAGAGCACTCCCAAGAAGGCCCCCCGAGGCAAAAATCATTGATTTTCTGTTGGTTTTTGGTGAATTTTGGGGTTCTCCTCTTTTCGGCTTCCCGACGCTCCAAGACGGCGGTCTTCTGGGCGTCCGAAGCCGCCTGGGAGGCTCCCAAATCGCCCCACAACCATCCGAAAGGGCTTCCAGGCAGTCCAAGAGAGCCCCAAAACGGCACAACACGGGTCCAAGATGGCCCTCAGAGAGCCCCATGGCGGCCCAAGATGGCCCAAAGACACCCTCCGAAGAATTCCAAATCGTGATTCGGTCGTTCAGGGAGACGGCGGTTGGAGGCAGGGTGGCCCGAGGAAGCCCCCGGAGGCCCCCAGAATACGCCCAGGAGGCCTCCAGAAGGCCTTAAGAAAGCCCGAAACAACTTTTGTGAGACCCCTAGAGGCTCTCCAAAGAGGAGCCTCCGCAAAAAAGAGCTGAGGAGGATGGGGAGAATGCGCAGGGCATGGCGAAAATAAAGAACAATAACCATGGAGGAAAGATAACGAATAACATCATTATAGCGGCGATGCCGGAAAAGGCAACCAGGAATTATCGCTAAATTGTCGGCTTGACCTTCCAGCCATTCCGCCTGCATACCAAACTTCAAGGACCAAGGTGCATGGCGCGAATCGCCACTGCAGTCTCGTATATATATATATATATATATATCGGCGAGTGGCCCCCGACAGCGAAACCGCACGTTCCTGGGCCAGATGAGCCATCCGGCTCCGATTGGCGATGAATCGGCGACCAGGGTGTCGTTGCGTCCCCCCCCTGAGCTGATCCCCTCTGACGTGGCTCCCGACTTCCAGCTGCGCGCGGCAGGCCGCGCAACTCCTCCCTCACTTCCCGACCCTCCGCCGCCGCCGCCGGTGCCTTCGCCGCTCTTGCAGAGGCATCCTAATTGGGGTCAGGGCAGAGGGGGTCAGAGAATCGCGCCGCATCGCCGATGCACTGGCGACGACGGCGATGCATCGGTGACGTCGGTGCGGACAACATCGGGCTCCACTTCGAGCCGCATCGCCGACGCATCGGCGATGAGGCACGATCATCCGACCCCATCTACTCTGACCCCATCTGGGGGGCCTAGATTTTAGCGCCCCCCACAAGACTTCTGAAGCAGGGAACTGGCATTCCTACAGGCCTACCACGACATGCTCTTCGAACGACAGGATCTTCGAACACCAGAAAACGCTCTGAGACAAAAACACCTATAGATCGAAGACAAGACGGGCCCTCAGCCAGAAAGGTTCGGAGCACACATCTCGTGCAGAGCACCAGAGGTTTGAAAGTATCCCTTCGTGGGCCTGTAGGCAAGCCAGACCGAACGCCTCGCCGCTGCTCGCCTCTCCCCCCGTAGGACCTGCCTTTCGTGCGATTGCAAAAAGGTCGCCACATCAGGAATCCTTGTGCAACGGCGTTACAAAAAAAGACCTTGTGAGAAGAAGAAGAGACGGGAGGACGAAGAGTAACGAAGACGACGAACATGCATGATGAGTAAACTGATGATCCATAGCGTTCCAATCGCCAGAGAATCGATCAGAAATGCACTGCTGCAATCATACAAACAGCGGGTCGGACCTCCCCCCCCGTGGGAGCCTTGATCTTCTCCCAGCGGGCCCTCCAGCCCGGCCGAACTTCTCAGAAGGCGCAAGGGCTTCTGAGAAGTCCCGCCGCCTTCTGAGAAGGCCTTCTCCTTCTCACTTCCCCCCCTCGCTCGCCGCCGATGGCTTTGATCCTATTGTCATGGAGTGGTCAGGGAACCAGGGGGCAGAGAGGAGACCTCCTGAGGACAAGCGAGGGCAGAGGACGAAGGAGGAGCAGGTGGAGGAGGACTACGACGATGATGATGCTGATGACGACGACGATGATGATGGTGATGGTTTCGTAAATGATGTTGATGATGATCGCCTCCCCCCCCCCGGTGGGAGCCTTGATCTTCTCCCAGCGGGCCCTCCAGCCCGGCCGGGAGCGGGGGCCCCTCTCGCGGTCGAGCCCGTCCCTGCCGGGGTGCCGCCAGGAAGGGCAGGGCGAGCCCAGCATCGAACCGATGACAGGGAGCCCGCAAGAGGACGTACGCGCCCAGCTATGTGCATGAACACGGCCCCTCGATCCGCGAGGACGGCCGCATGATACGAACATTCGCGCAATGCGTACTCTCGAAACCAGCGCGGATTCATGTACGTGCACGTCCTTCTTTCGCTCCTGGGACAAGTCGGATCGGCGATCGAACTGAATCGGGTCCGCGGAAATCGGCAGCCGAGCCGGGTAACATCGAATCAGCGGAAATCGGTAGGTTAGCAGGCCTCCATTAAGAAACTGGATCCCAAATCGAAATCAGGTGTCGAATCGAATCGGGATCGGAATCCATCGAAATCGAATCGGAGTCGAAATGAGCCATGCAAAGGTGCCCCTGGCCCCAAGAGTTGCCTTCCCCAAGATCTCTCTGGGGGAGGCGATAAGGGCGAATGATGAGCCTGGGGAGAGCACGACGCGCATGCCGTGGCGCAGATGGTCCATGTCTTCTTCGGCGGGGCTCCACGGCGAATGCGTGTCATGCCCGCCCCTGGGCTGTTAGCCCCGTTCGTCGCCTTCGATCTCTGGGGAGGCCCCGATGGCGTGCGGAGCATGCCATGCACAGATCTGCGGCGTCCTGTTTTTTGTTTTCGGCGACGACCCTCAGAAGTCTGAATCCCTGCCCTGGGGCCCGTTTTGCAGGCAAGGTTGTTGTTTGGTGGTCCCGGGGCGTGGTGAGGGTCCCTGAAAGCTGAAAGCGGCCAAGAATCTCCTGTCGCGACTGGTTCGCAGCGAAGAGAAAGTAAGGGCCTCACGATGCCCAGAGGGCCGCATGGGCTCCCAAATACAACGAATAACCAGAGACACCTCGGGCCAGGAATTCGGACGTCCGGAATGGGTAAGGAAAGAATGGGTACGATGCTCAAGAGCAAATGCTGCTCAGATCCGACAGCGGCCGCTGTTGGGCAGGCGACCCTTTGTCTCAAATGGACAGCGTCCGCGGCGACGCCGACATCTAGTCCTGTCCATAGTGGACCCGAAATTCCAGGCGGTAGAGGGGCCTGCCCTGGATGCGCAGCATCAAAACTAGACATGGGGGAAAAGTGAGGCAGGATGCAATTCGGCATCCGATGCCCATCTGGAGAAGGCGACCCACAATGGAGAGGGAACGAAATTCAGGTGCGTACACAACTCCCCCTCCCCCTTTCAAGCGGCTTGAAGCCAAGAGACCCCTCCACTGCCCTCCTGCCGGCTCCAACTGTTACCGGTCTCCGTCGGAAAAATTGATTTGCCGCGCGCAAGTGCGAGGTACCCCCCCCGTCCAGAGTTATAATGATGTATCGACGGTTTTGTCGCCCTGATTTATCACGCACTAGTGCGCGGTAAACACCCGGTCACCCTGTACTCGCTCGCAGAGGCCCCTTTGCTACCACCCGGTTTGCTGACGCCCCGTTTGCAAGGGCTTGGACTTCGGTCGTGCCCGATTTCTGGCAGCACTCGACCTGTGGCGCTGGCATTCGGGCGTGACGTCCTCCAGCGCCTCGGGGTGCGGGTCGAACCCGAGCAGGCCGCCGATGTCCTCGCGGCGTGGGCGACACGGACGGACGCCCGGCCCAGCACGTCGGGGTCTGCCACAAAGCATCCGCGGCCCAGGGTGTCACCCCGCTTTCCGCTCCGTGTTTACAGGGGCAGAAAAAAAACAGCATGAGCATACACGCTCGGTTGTCCGCGCGAGCGAATTTCTTGGATCGGCGCTGGATCCCCCTCCCTGGTGCGCGGAGCGCGCCAGAGGCGGCGCCGGAGGCTCCATGGCGGGCCCAGCGCCGATCCTAGAAATCAGCGTACAGTCGGGGCGTTGACCTAAGGAACCCTAAATAAGGAACGAGGCCCCTATTTTCCATAAGTTAAACTTCGATTTCACATCAAAAACCAAAGGAAAACCTAAGGCAAGCTGCGAAACAATCAAGGAACACGGAGCCCCTCCCCAACGAAAAGGGTTCCTTCTTCAGGACCCCTACTGTAGTGCTCCAACAATTTCTGGTGGTGCAAGTTTTCTTCTTCGAGCGGTGGAGCGCCCGTGGCCTGCTGGGCCTCTTGGGAGGTGCTCTCTGGTGGCCGTGGGGGCCTCCCTAGAAATCCTGGTGGCTCCTTGGGGGGAGGGAGGAGGAACAAACGAGGACGAGGCGGCGAGGTGCAGAGGGAGGGGGAGGAAGAGGGCGTTTGAGATAAATCGCGCGCGCGCATCCGACCCCCCAGTTGGATCGTTGAAGCCGGGATGCGTTGGTGCGCGCGCTCGCGATGCTCGCGATGCCTCGGCTGCGTCCGAAAGTGAGCACCTCTCCGCCTCCCCCCCCCACGCCGCCCCTTTAAAAATGGGAGTCTGATGATGTGCGTCCCACTTCCCCGCGGGTGTATCGCTGCGCGACTTTCGGCGAACGACGACGGCGGCGATCGACAAACGACAGTCGACTACTAACGGCCAAGAACAACGAACGACGAAACACGACCAACGAACGGCGACGACGATTGACGAGCGACGACCAACGAACTTTGACCAGGAAGACGACTCTCGACGAACGGCGAACGAGGACGAATGACGGACGACGGGCGACGAACGTTGAACGACGCCGCACACACGTGCGCATCGCAACGCGGCCACCGCGCGGGGGGGTCTACCAGCCTGGAACATATCCCTATCCCTATGCTGGGCACCACCTCATCACGATGCCAATCTTAGGGATTCCCTTATTCCCAACCATCCTGTGGTGTTGGGTCCTCGTTTTGACGAGACGGCGCCCCGCGTTCCTCCTCCTCTCCTCTCCTCTCCTTCCTCCTCCTCTCTCCCCTCCTCCTTCCTCCCACCATCATCTTCACCTCTCACACGTTTCGTGGCCCCATAGGGAGCTCCACCCAAGGTCCCAGTGGCGCAGCCCGCATGCGGTACGCGCCCAATTTTGGCACACCCCTCACACGTTTCGTGGCCCCATAGGGAGCTCCACCTATGGTCCCAGTGGCGCAGCCCGCATGCGGTACGCGCCCAATGTTGGCACACCCCTCACACGTTTCGTGGCCCCATAGGGAGCTCCACCTTAGGCCTCAGTGGCGCAGCCCGCATGCGGTACGCACCAAATTTTGGCACACCTCTCACACGTTTCGTGGCCCCATACGGAGCTCCACCCAAGGTCCCAGTGGCGCAGCCCGCATGCGGTACGCGCCCAATTTTGGCACACCCCTCACACGTTTCGTGGCCCCATAGGGAGCTCCACCTTAGGCCCCAGTGGCGCAGCCCGCATGCGGTACGCGCCCCATTTTGGCACACCCCTCACACGTTTCGTGGCCCCATAGGGAGCTCCACCTATGGTCCCAGTGGCGCAGCCCGCATGCGGTACGCGCCCCATTTTGGCACACCCCTCACACGTTTCGTGGCCCCATAGGGAGCTCCAACGTAGGCTCCAGTGGCGCAGCCCGCATGCGGTACGCGCCAAATTTTGGCACACCTCTCACACGTTTCGTGGCCCCATAGGGAGCTCCACCCAAGGTCCCAGTGGCCCAGCCCGCATGCGGTACGCGCCCAATTTTGGCACACCCCTTACACGTTTCGTGGCCCCATAGGGAGCTCCACCTTAGGCCCCAGTGGCGCAGCCCGCATGCGGTACGCGCCCAATTTTGGCACACCCCTCACACGTTTCGTGGCCCCATAGGGAGCTCCACCCAAGATCCCAGTGGCGCAGCCCGCATGCGGTACGCGCCCCATTTTGGCACACCCCTCACACGTTTCGTGGCCCCATAGGGAGCGCGGGCGAAGATGGTACTCACAATTGCGGTATTCACAACTGCATATGGTTGGGTCCTTCGTCAGGCTATTTTTTTTAGGGCGCATCCCTGAGATTGTCATCGCCTTTTGGCGTGTCAATCTTAGGGATAGGGATACGTTCGAGGATATCTGCATGACAAATTGACAGGCTTTCTCGGGAACCCTCAGGCCTCGCCTGGATTCCTCGGGCGCGGACTCGCGCGCCGCAGCGGCGGCGGCCTGGGCGCGCGATCTTCGCAAGAGGGATCGGCGCGCGGCGCCAGGCGGCACGCTCGCGCGACTACGTAGCGCTCGTGCGCGCAGTGAAGACCTCGTGCATACAGTCGGGGCGTTGACCTAAGGAACCCTATATAAGGAACGAGGCCCCTTTTTTCCGTAAGTTAAACTTCGATTTCCGATCGAAAACCTAAGGGAAACGTGGGGCAAGCTGTGAAACAATTAAGGAACACGGAGCCTCTACCCAACGAAAAGAGTTCCTTCTTCAGCGCCCCGACTGTAGCATCGGCGAACATCGACCGCAAACTCTCGCGCGGGGGCCGGCGCTCAGCGCCAGGCGGACCCCTCGCAAGACCGAGCAGCGCTCGAGCGCGCGGACGAGGGCTCGCGCGTCGCGTCGCCAGCGGTGTCAGCACGCGATTTTCGCGTGGGGGCCAGCGCGCAGCGCCGCGCAGCTTCCTCGCGCGACGGGGCAGCGCCCGCGCGCAGGAGGGGACTCGAACGCCGCATCGGCGGTGGCATCGGAACGCAAGTCCACGCGCGAGGCTCGGCGCGCGGCGCCACGCCATGCAGCTGCCTCGCGCGAGTTGGTGGCGCCTGGGCGCGCGGGGGATCAGGCTCGCGCGTCGAATTGGCGGAATGGTGTTTCGGCGCTGTGGTCTCGCTCCGCGAGAGTGATGGCGCCTCGCTGCGCGACTGGGCACGCGCGCGTGCGCGCGGGTGTTTCTGCGGATGCGTCGCAAACGCGCCGCATTTGCAGGCGTACCGCTACGCGACCCTCGCGCGGGGGGGGGGTGCAAGAGACGACATTGAACTGCCTCGGGGTCCGTCAGGCCGCGTCGGCTGAGGCGTCTGGGGAGCTTTGTGTGGCTTCCTGGGGGCGGGCGTCTGGGAGCGTTTGGGCGCTCCTGGAATATCTGGGAGCGCTTGGGAGCGCCTGGGGGCATCTGAGAAAGCTTGGGGGTCGCCAGAAGCGTTTGGGAGCGCCCAGGAGCGCCTGCGAGCGCGTGGAGGCGTCTGGGGGCGCCTGGGGTCGCTTGTTGAACACCTGGGGTTGCTTGTGGGAGCGCTTGGGCGCCCTTGGAGCGTCTGGGAGCGTGTGGCAGCGCCTCGAAATCTGGGGACTCCTGGGGGGCGCCTGCGAGCGCCTTGGGTCACCTAGGGATCGCCTGGGGCCCCCGAAGTGCGTTTGGGCGCTCCTGGAGCATCGGGCCTGGGAACACCTCGGGTGTCTGGGAGCGCCTGGAAGTGCCTGGGGAACTCCCAGTGTTGCCTGGGAGTGTTCGGGCGTTCCTGGGGCGTCTGGGAGCGCCTGGGGGCGTCTGGATGAGTCTGGGAGCGCCTGGGAGAGCGTTTGGGACCTGGGACCGCCTGTGGAGCACCTGGGGCCTGTTCGGAGCGCTCGGGCGAGCCTGGGGGATCGCCTAAGAACGTCGGGGGCGCAGGTCCTGTGCTTTTTTGACAGGGATCGCGGCCTCGACGGCGCCGATATAATGTTTTTGATTGCTTGTGTGTGCATATACACACTAGAACCATCGCGCGCGCTGCGCGCGCGCTCAGGTTCTAGCAGGCGCCAGGCCTTGACGAATTCACAGCTCCACTGAAATCATGGACAACAGTCCACGTATGCCAAGCCGCATTCCGAAAGGCGTCGAGGGAGGTTGCGTAGGGGGGCGGAGGCTGGATGAATCGGGCTCCCAGAAGGCCTTCTGGTAGCATGGGTTTGGGGGGCGTCCTGGGGAGCCTGTCGGGGCTTGCAGCCGTCGTCGTCGTAATGTCGTCGTCGCCTACTGGGGCGCGCCGTCGTCGTCGTCGTCGTCGTCGTCGTCGTCGTCGTCGTCGTCGTCGTCGTCGTCGTCGTCGTCGTCGTCGTCATCGTCGTCGTCGTCGTCGTCGTCGTCGTCGTCGTCGTCGTCGTCGTCGTCGTCGTCTTCGTCGTTTCGTCGTCGTCGTCGCCGTCGTCGGTTCAAGAGGGCACTTTGCGCGAAACGATCTGCGGAGGGCCGCGAGAAGGCGATCAGTCATGATCCCAGTCAACTTCCCAGACAACTCTCCTGTAGCATGATGGTACTTCGAAGCCTCCGGAGACTCGCGGGCCCATGATGAACCATGTCCCCGGAAAGCTTTCTGGGAACATGGTTTGTTGGGGCGTGTTGAGGGGCCTCTTGGGCGCTCCCTGGGGGCCCCTTGGGGGCCTCCGGGAACTCGCGGGCCCATGATGAATGATGTCCCTGGAAGGCTTTCTGGGGACATGATTTCTTGGGGTGTGTTGGGGGGCCTCTTGGGCGTTCCCTGGGAGCCCCGTGGGGGTCTTTCCTGGGGACCTCTCGGGCGCCTCACGAAAGGCACTTGCGAGGTGCCTGCGTGCGGCCCAGGAACCTAGGAAAGGCACTTGGAAGCAGTTTCGAAGCCTCTCGGGGCCGGTCTTGTCGGCCTCTTGGGGCGTCTGGGGGGCCTCTTGGGGTCTCTTGGAGGCCTCTTGGGGCCTCAGCTGGGAGCCTCTTGGGGTTGGAATACTGGAAGTGGGTTTTTTTTGCTCGGTTCGCGGTCCCCTTCTTGGGCCCCCCTTGGGGCCGCCTTGGGTCTTTCTTGGGCCCTCGTGGTCGCCTCGTGGGCCGTCCTTGGACCCCCTCGGGCTGTCTTAGGAGCCTCTTGGGAGCTTCGGGGGCCATCTTGGGACTACACTGGGGACCTATGGGGCCGTCGTCAACGCCGTGAAAACCGAAGAGTATGTGCTGAAAACGCACTTGTTTCTCACGCAGATCAATGATTTGGGGCTCTTGGGGCCCCGTGGGTAGGCCTCTTGGGAGTCTTTTTCGGGCGCCTTGGCGGCCTGTAGGGCTCCGTGGGAGGCATCTTGGGCGTCGTGGGGCGATCTGCCGACGAGTAGCTGCCGTCGTGGACGACGCTGGGCGCGTCTGGGGGGGATCCTGGCGCGCCTCGGAGCCGCCGGGGCCTCCTCCCGAACGGCTCCGGCGAGCCGTGGACCCCATGCGCTGTCGGGGCCCCTGCCCGGGAGGCCCCCGCCCTGTTTTCCGGTGTGTATATATATATATATATATGCACACATATCGATATACGATATGTAATCTTCATTTTACTCAGCAAACATTATTCGGGGTCCGTGTTTGGCCAGGCGCCGCTCGCCCTCTGGAGTCTCCGAACATTGATGTTGAACTTCTGGCCCGCGACTGCGTTTCGACACAGAGCGGGGGCTGCAAAACGTGCCACGCACGAGGTGAGGATGGCGTGGCCAGCCTCCCGCAACGCTCGGAGGCGGGCGAGCTGACTTTCGCCCGCCGACGTGATGCATCGGGCACCCCGCTGAATGCCCCGACCACTAGTCGTTCGCTACTCCAGATTTCGTAATAAAAGGGAGGGGGTCTGGACCCTCCAAGACAAGCCATTTCAGACCTCCCCCGTGGGAGAACCCTCCAAAGCATCGTCCCCAGACCCCCCCAGGCCCTCCAAGATAATTAGCCTGGAAGAGACCCCCCCCGAAATGAGACCCCCCTCCTTTTATTACGAAATCTGGAATACCTGGCGATTGTCAAGACCGACGCAACGGCCAAGGGCGCAAGTGCGCCAGCGCAAGAGGAAGCACCTGTTGGAGACCGGCTGGCCGTCCTGACGAGGCGCCCTTGGGGCCGGCATCTCGTACGCAGGGCTCGAGCTAAACGAGGTTTTCCGTTTTCGTGTTGTTTTCGTGTTCCCTCGTTCTGTTTTCGTCCCGCATCTTCTGCAAACCGACATCGAAACGAAGCCAGCCCACGAGGTCGCCAAGACACCACTTAGCTCGAGCTCTGCTCGTTCGTTTCCCTGCTTCCCTCTGCGGCCAACGTCCTCGCGGCCGAGGGAGCTCAGGCGCCGCACGGCCACGTTCAGGTGCTCCTGCCTGGGCAGGTCCTGGCGCACGAGGATCCTCGCGGGCTCGAGCCCGAGGTCTTCGGGGTCCCCCAGCTGGATCTCGACTTGCCCCGCCACCTTCGGCACGTTCTCCCTGGCCTCCTGCCGGAGAGGAAGCACACGCCGGTGCCGATACCCTTGCTTCCCTCGGTCTCGCCTTCTTGCTCGCCGCCTCGCGGCCGTGGCTCGCCCACGGAGCCCCGGTAAGAGGGCACCCCAGGAGAGTCCTGGAGATTGGGCGCGGCCCGGGGGTCTGCGCTGCATGCACCCAAAGAAAAAATATCACGAGGAAGGGACGAAAGCAAATCCGCTCAAACTGGTCCCTGGGCCCCTCCAGGGGTCGGAGCTGACCAATTGTTCGAGCCGCGTCCGGCCATGACAGCGAGAGGTCCCCTTTCTCCCCCCTTTCTGCGAGTCGGGACCAGTACTGGGCCACCCCAGCCCCCACTCGGCGCCGACCTGAAGAGCAACTGTCCCGGCATCGTTCTGTTCCCCCCATCCTTGTTGCTGTGCCACTTCTTCGTGGAAGCAGTCACCCTCATGAGCATCTTTTCACCTATCCCTATCCCCACTGGCATGGCCTTCGCCTCACTGACCGACTCACACCCCTATAGAGAGGGGGATCTGCCATGTCACCCCCACGTTCCGCGGGGCCCGTCCCCACCCCGAGGGAAGGGCTGGTGGAGCTGAGATGCTACGGCACGGTGGGGCCCGGAACGGTTAGGTGATAAAGGATGCTGGCCTCAAGCCGTCCGCGGTCTGAGGCTCCTGGACAAAGAAACTGCCGTCGGGGACCTGCGCCAACCACTCCCACGGGGCCTCGGTGGCCGCGCCTGGAGCTCGCTCCAGCACCCGCAGGCCCAGGAACCTGTCGGTCTCGTTCTCGGCGTGCGACCGAAGGTAAGAACGCACCTGCACGGCCCTGCCGCCAAGCAAGCTGCCCGAGATCTCCACCTCCGTGATGTACGTCGTGCACGGCTTCCCGTGCTCGGGGCGGATGGAGGCCGTCAGCTTCACCATCGGGGGCTCGCTGGTGGCCTGGGGGATCCGCAGCAGAGTGAAGTCGCCCCCGTGGTTCACGTCGAAGTGTTCTCCATGCAGATTGACCAAGTGCGGATCGCCCCTGGCCGACACCGTCGGGGCCGGAGTCGGAAGGGTCCACGAGGGTGGAATGCAGAGTCCTAGTCCTGCACTGCCATCGAGGTCGCACACCTCCCCATCGGAACACTCGTCAACGCCACATCCACATGGGTATTTCGTGGAGGTGCTAAGTCCATCGTGTTCAGTACAATCCGAGATCATCGAGTCGTACGGGTCGTACGAGTCGTTGAGGCAAGGGTCAATATAGAAGCACGTCTCGTTATCGACGGTGGTTTTGTCAGTAATGGTCACTATCTCGTAGTGGCCTGGATCAGGGTTGCGCGTCGATATTACTACTGTGTCACCTCTCGTCAATACTTGTCCGTTCTCATCGGTGTCTGAGTTGACACAGGCCGTGCAATTCCCTGGGAACAGAGGCTCCTTAATGTACGCCCCGCCGATGCACACGTCGAAGTCTCCCAAGTCGTCCCTACCGGGAGGGCATTTGGTGCACTGCTCCGAGCGCCGACGCCTTGTTTCCCCAGTGGTGCACTGGACGCACAAGTCCGTGCCTGGAGTAAAGTACCATCCAAAGTCGCAGTGATTCGGTGAAGCGACCGGAAACAGAGGCAAGAACTCACCCAACGGGGAATCTACACATTCCTCGTACGTCACGCAGCCGTCCCCGTCGAGGTCGAAGTCGCCAAAATTCCCAGGGATCACGGGCAGATACTTGCACTCCGGCACCGTGAGACAGCCATCCCCATCGGTGTCTACATAATTGAAGCCACCGCACTTGTTGTCACAGGGGCACTTGGACCCCGGGGGAAGCGTCGGGGCCGGGGTCGCCGTCACGTTCGGCTCCTCGCTCAGGTACGCGATCTCTGCCATCACGGTCGTCAGCCTGCCCTCGCAGAACGTCACCCAGACGGAGCTCCCAAGAGGGAGACCTCGGCGGCGCGCCGAGGGTGGAGGCGAGAAAGGCCGACCCTCCTCCTCCTCCTCCTCCTCCTCCTCCTCCTCCTCCTCCTGCTGCTCCTCCTCCTGCTCCCCCCCAAGAACTCTTCCCGTTCCCTCCGACACAGCTCCGTGCTCTCGGCCCCAACGTCCTCAGCTTCGGGAGCGGCCAAGAGGGGGGTGTCCAAGAGGGGGGGGTGCAAATCATGACCGGCGGCATGTGCGCGGCCCAGCGGGGGGGCCAGGGACGTCATGAAATGAGAAGAGGCGCCATGAAATCTGGGGAAATATCATGGCCCCCGCCATGATATCCACCCCCCCCCCTAGTCATCACCCCCCTCTTTTCCGCCCCCGACAACTGCCCCGGGGCTCCGGAGAAGGCCCGGAGAGCTTCTCGGGAGGCCGGAGGCCCTCTGAGCCCTCTGAGAAGGCCTGCCCCCTCCGCCTTCCCTCCTGGGCGCGCCGCCGAAGACCGTGGTGGTCGTCGGTGCTGTAGTGCCCAAAGTAGGAGCAGGTGCCGTCGGAATCCAGGTCGCGGACGGCCGATTCGCTCGGCTCGCTGTCGTCGATGATCCATCTGGGTATGCGCTCGTTTCCTTTGGGGTGCTCGTCAACGGGGGGGCACTGTTGCTGCTTCTTCTTTCTCTCTATATATATATATATATAGATGTGGCTCGTCAGCGGGGGGCAATCTACGGACGGGGGGTGAAGAAACGTGCACCTTTCGTTCACCTCTTGGGCCCGCGGTGGCAGTTTATGGGCCGTTTAAGGCCCCTTGTAAGGCAATGTCGTGTCATCATCGATTCCCCCACGCTTATTCCCCCCCTAATGCCCTCCGCCCGATCCTTCACGAACCGCTCCGTCACATGATTCGTCAAAGTAAATGTACTTGCCGTGGTAATCCGCCGGCCCCCTTGTGGGGCCACCAGGCTGTAGGCGCGAGGTTCGCTGTTTCCTGTACCAGTTGTAGCTTGTAATTTCCAGTGTTACAGTTCTGCTTCTTGCTGGTTACTGTAACTAGTTGATTGACCGCGCGAGGGGGGGGAGGCCCAAACCGACATTTTAGCACCTCCTGGGCGCGTTGTCTGAATTGCTGGGGGGGCTCGAAATCGACACCCCTCACGCAGATCCGCGGGGTCAGGGTCCAAAAACACAGGGATTTGCCACATTTCTGAAATTCGGTGCCACCCCTCACGCAGATCCGCGGGGTCAGGGTCCAAAAACACAGGGGATTTGCCACATTTCTGAAATTCGGTGCCACCCCTCACGCAGATCCGCGGGGTCAGGGTCCAAAAACACATGGGATTTGCCACATTTCTGAAATTCGGTGCCACCCCTCACGCAGATCCGCGGGGTCAGGGTCCAAAAACACAGGGGATTTGCCACATTTCTGAAATTCGGTGCCACCCCTCACGCAGATCCGCGGGGTCAGGGTCCAAAAACACATGGGATTTGCCACATTTCTGAAATTCGGTGCCACCCCTCACGCAGATCCGCGGGGTCAGGGTCCAAAAACACAGGGATTTGCCACATTTCTGAAATTCGGTGCCACCCCTCACGCAGATCCGCGGGGTCAGGGTCCAAAAACACAGGGGATTTGCCACATTTCTGAAATTCGAACCCATCACGCACATCCATCGCAAGGCGTGGTAACCCAAACTGCGAGAACTCCCTCGGCCCTTTAATCGCAAGGTGTGGTAACCAAGCCCTTAAACCATACACGTCTTACCAATCGCCAGGTGTGGTAACCCCTCTTGTGATCAGTTGGTTTTGCTGATTGCGACTCGGCTTCGCATGAAGTTTCGATACTGCTTCACGACAGCGCCAAGGCCTCATGACTTAGCTCTTCCATGGCCCATTCTCCGAGAGAAGGTGCCGGCGGCAGGGGGCGAAGCCCTTACGGATTAACGTAAATAGGCGCCCCGTCCGCTGTGGTTCCTGTGATAATGAAGTTCGGGTCGCCGAGCGATGGCCATAAGCAAGGCCAATCCACGTGGAGATACGATGGCGGTGAGCATGTCCCATTGGAGCATATTTCACTGGTTCCACACACAACAGGTCCGCACGTGCATGGATAAGAAGCACTCGGCCCAGTTCCATTCGCGATGTCGCAAGCATCTGGTGGAGATGTTGGTGCAGGCGTGGGTAAATCGGTCAGCAACCTATTGAAGTTAACGCTGATGCCTTGCTGATGAACAGGTTTGGCACAAGTGGTGCCAGCACCATCGTGACCGTCCGTATCGTTGCACGCCGCGTCGAAAAGATCACAGTGTCCAGGCCAGACTGTATCTTCGTGAAAACCAATTGACATGCAACTCGGATACAGGTTGCACGCGGAAGCGCACAACAACGGCGTCTCGTAACCTGTGGGGAGTGACTGTATTATGTTCCCACACTCGCAATTGCTGCCTGTTTGATTGTACCCATCCACGATCCACGGGCCGCCCGTCTGATTGTATCCATCCACTCGTGTCGCCACGGCACGTTCTGTTGGCTTTGCTGCAGGCCGCGCCGGAATACGCTGTGCAGACTCTTGTGCGACGCACGGTTTGGGGCACAAGTGTGGGTTCTCGCTGTGCCAACCCTGCTGGAAGTCTTCAAAAGTGAGAGCCCCAGTCAAATTCCAGGAGGCGTACCCCGAGGGGTTCTCCGCGAAATCTGTTCGCATCGACCATGTCACCACCTGGTAGCACAACTCGCTCTCGACGGCGGTGTGGCATTTCACCGGTGCTGGCACCCGTGCTGGCTCTGGAATCTCCACCGCCGGCGCTGCACAAGGCTCAGGGCACACTTTCGACAAGCTGGCTATGCCGTGCAGGCGTCGCTGGAAATCTTCGAATGTGGAACTGCTGGTCAGGGGAGAGAACCAATCTGGATACTTTGCGAAACCCGACTCCATCGCCCACACTACTTTACTGTAACATGCTTCGCCCTGGACCGCCGTGTGGCACCCTTCGGGCAACCGTGCTGGCGCTAAAATCTCTGTTGCCCGCGCTGCGCAAGGCTCAGGGCACACGTTGGCGAATCTGGCTATGCCGTGCAGATGCCGCTGGAAATCCTCGAAACTGGAGTTGCTGGTAAGGGGAGAGAACTGGTCTGGATACTTGACGACGCCCGTCTTCATCGCCCACACCACTCTCTTGTGACATTCGTCGCCCACGACGGGGGCGTGGCAGCTGTCCGGCGCAGGCAGCTGTGCTGGCACTGGAGTGTCCAGTGCCCGCGCTGCGCAAGGCGCAGGGCACACGTTGGCGAATCTGGCTATGCCGTGGAGATGCCGCTGGAAATCCTCGAAACTGGAGCTGCTTGTCAGGGGAGAGAACTGGTCCAGATACTTTACGACGCCTGTCTTCATTGCCCAAACCACTCTCTTGTGACACTCGTCGCCCACGACGGGGGCGTGGCAACTGTCCGACGCAGGCACCTGCTCTGGCGCCGACATGTCCGGCGCCCGCGCCGCACAAGGCTCAGGGCACACTTTGGCGAATCTGGCCATGCCGTGCAGGTGCCGCTGGAAATCCTCGAAACTGGATTGGTTGGTCAACGGGAAAAACAAATCTGGAAATGTTAGGACTCCTGTCTGCATCGCCCACGACGTTCTGATGTAACAATCGTCTCCTGCGACTGCAGTGCGACAGCCTGTGCGCGGCTGCACGATGTGAGTTTGCGTCGACTGATGCATGACCTGCAAGTTGGCACCAACTCCATAGATTAATGCAAGCGACATCGTGACGCGCTGTCTAGGTTGTGTTTGTGATCTCATTGATACATCAGATGTGCGTCAGTTCGTGTTCAGTTATGGATGAGCCAGCGAAGCCCAAACTGGCTCCACTGGAATGGTGTTCGGTTGAGAACCGCGTGGCGCTCGAGCAACCTTGACAGCATGCAGAGGAGGGGATAACAATACACAGTATATATACCTCTTAACAGATGCTTCAATGTGTCAATCTATGCGCGTACATGTAAATACGTATGTAGTTCTGTACGCATACGTACAGATAGATGAAGAGGGGTACATCTGTGGGTCATGGAACCAACTTGATTCCGGTCCTCGCCCTGGTATTCTTGTTCAAGTACCAGAAGCGCGCAAGGAACATATCACCTTGTTTTGCTCAATGCTATTCCAAATGTAGCATACACTCATCATGCTGTGTCACCCAGATTTCGGACAGTTGTACATTGCTCTGTGAAGCTATCCAGGCTGAGTTAGGTGGTCTCATTCAAACTGCAAAATTGCTAGAACAAAAAACTGTGCAGCACAAGATTGTGCAAGCGTATGGTACCAAGACAAGAAGGGATCCACTTACCTGAACATCATATGAGCTCCTGGAACCGTCAAACGTACTGAACTGCTGGGGTGGGCACAAGCCACACTTACCAGCTGCAACATCATGGACAACTGAAACACACACACAGGCACACACACACAACCGTCCAACCGAAACTCCAGAACGTCTCCTCCTCCCCCCATATCTGCTTTTCATATTCATCGTCCCCATGGTCTCTCAGGGACTCCCAAAAAAGCCCGGGTGAAATCTCATAAGGAACCTGGCCCATTTCCGTGCAGGCCTGTGGCAGCTCTGGCAAGATCGTGCGAAGGCTACAAACAACAATGGTCGAATTCTTTTGGAATGGTAGTCAGCCGTGGTAGGCTATGATTAGGACCGTATCCAACTCTAGCAGTAACAAATGAAAAGTGCATCCAGTTGCAATGTGACTCTGTCAGAATGGTACCCACTCTTTCTGGGATTATATAGGAGCTGTGAGCAATTATCTCTACTTGGATCTTACTAGTGTTGGCGCAGGCGCTGGCAGGATTACAATGGGGTGGTGGCCAGCTGTAGCAAGAACACACAACTTGCAACCAACTCAAATGGAATCCGTTTCTAAACATCCGCTTGTTTTGTGGCCAGCTCTATTCGCATTCCGATACAAGGATTTCCCACTCCATCACGTTCCCACCACAGCTGTAAACATATCGAGTCGGTGTCCAATCGGGCGGCATGATGGGATCGCATGGTGGTGGCAACGCAGTGTAACAAAATCGCAGCGGAGTGCTACTGGCAACCAACCAAAAAGAAATCGAACCAATGGAATGATTGCCACCTGTAACGGGATAGAACGAGGGTGGCAATCAGCTATAATAATACGCGTTGCGAACCGAACACAGCTTCATTTGGATTCGCATAGGTCCATAGCTACATGGAATCCGATTCGCGAAGTCAACCAACTCTAATAGGATTCGTTTAGGAGTTCTTGGCATAGCTAGCAGGATCGCCTGATAATGGCAGCCAACTGTTTGGGTGGTAACCACATGCGCACATGCTACATTAAAGTGGTAGGTATGGCTTGCACAGATTCTACAACGAAACGCAACCATCTCTAGTAGGATGTTGCTGGGATGGCCGCCAAACCAAACAGGGTTACGACAGAGCGTGGCCAGCAACAACCCGATTAGCTAGCTCTACCCATATTGCATCAGACCTGCAGTCAGCTGTGACAAGGTCATTTTGGAACGGTAGCAGTTCCATGAAAGCTCCCGGGCGCACTGGCCCATCATATCATCCAACTTTCTTCGAAACAAAAAGATCCTGAGGGAAACGTGTCCTATACCCCTGGGCCATCCCACAAAACAAAATCCGCCGACCTCTTGCGGTTATGGCGTGTGAGATGCTCCCCCCTCCCCAAACCCCTCCCCCGAGAACCTGGTCCGGCCGGTTTGGAGGGGGGTGGGGGGGAGGCAAAAAAGCCGGCCGCACCTCTGGAGCCTCAGGGGGCCCCCAAACAGGCCAAGAGGATCCCAAAAGGCCACCCGGACGGTTTAAGAGGGCTACGAGTCGCCGAAAGATCGCCCCAAGGCGCCCAAGCTTGCCTCCAAACGGCCCCAGAGGCCCCCACGAAGCCCCAAGACGCCACCAAGAGGCGTCCCAAGAGGCCCTCCAGACGCAAAACTGGTCCCATACCCAAGGAAGAATCGTATATTTGTAGCACATTCGCCTCTTGGGCTTTCACGAGGCCCGCAACGGCCCAAGAAGCCTCCAAGATCGACCCAAGATAGCCCACGCGGCCCGCCCCCAAGAGGGCTCCAAGACGGCCCAAGAGGGTCCCAAGACGGCCCCAAAAGCCTCCAACACGGCCCAGGAGGGCCCCAGGACGGCCCCAAAAGGAGGCCCAGAGGAACCCGAATGGGCAATTCGAGCAGCCCCGAAAAAACCGGAGGAGGCGCCAAGAGGCCCCCAAGAGGCTCCCACGAGGCCCCCGAGAGGCTCCCACGAGGCCCCTGGAGGCCTCAGCACGGCCCCCAAGAGGCCTCAAGAATGCTGAGCAGAGCCGCAATCCGCCAACCGCCCCCGACGAAACCTCAAGAAACTGAACCCCAAATGATCAAATAATACCCCCCAAATAATCAAAAATACTTCCCAAATGATCAAACATACACAAAACAAATACCCCCCAATAATCAAAAATAGACAAAAACTGGTCCCCTGACTATTTTTGAATGTTCCCCTTGTAGAGGGACAGGCCCGACTCAAGGCCAGGGGCCGCCTCTGGACGGGCGCCACAGGGCTCGCGGGGCGACTTGGGGTGATGGGCCCATTTTCCACCACCGCTACCCGCTACCATATGTAGGAGAGGGAGGAGGAGGAGGAAGGGAGGGAGGGAGGGAGGGAGGGAGGAGGAGGAGGAGGAGGAAGACCTCCTCATCCTCCTTTCTCCACCGACCTACATATGGTAGTGGTGGTGGAAAATTTGCCCATCATTGGGGGGCGCCGAATCGAGAATCTACTGACCCGGGTCAATCCAAACCGGGGTCAGTCGGGCTTGGCAGGATGCAGGATCCTGCAGGATCCTGCACCTAAGCCCCCGTGAGTGCAACCCTGGCCCTCCAGGATCCAGGATCCTGCACGATCAGGCGCTCTGACTGACCCCCGTCTGCGTGGACCCCCGTCTCAAGGCCCCCGACCGAGGTGCTGGAGAATCGGGCCGGGCGAAAGGGGGGGGATAGCAAAGGGGGGGGTTGAGAACCAGCTCACGTAGCTGATTTTCCTGGCGCCGGGAGGCGCCCATGTATCGAGGAATGGGCCCAGCGGCGGGGCCGAAACCAGCTGCATGCAGCATATTTCGTACCACCCCTTTCCCTATCCCCCCTTTCGTTCGGCCCGAGAGAAGCCCGCTGGCGCCGCTGGCGCAGCCCGCAGGCGCTCGAGGCGGCCCAGGTGCTCTCCAGGATGATGCGCGGCGGGTTCTGTTGGTGGTCTCCAA